GTGCAGCTGCTGGGCGCCGGGGCCGGACCGCACCGCTGCTGTCTCCCGCCGGGCCACCGCGCAGGGCAGGGGAGGAAGGAGCCCTCTCAAGCCCTCTCCCCGTGGTGTTGTGAGCGCGGCTGTTTCCTTAGGTCTGCTTCCTTTACGTGCACACATGAAAGTACACTCCGGGAGCAGGCTGTTTGTTTCTACGGGAGATACCCATCACACATTTTTTTTATTATTATTTGTGTGTGTGTGTGCGCGTGCCCGTGTGTGTCGATCCCATGGGAGAAATGAAGAAATGATCTCACGTTCCAGGAAACTCTTTCCAGGAAACTTCAGAAAATACAGCATAGCACAGAGAAACCGGTCTTCAATAGCGAGAAGAAATGCTCCCGATAATTTTTTGAGTGTGTTTTACAGAATAAAAGCATGCTCCAAAACCGATCGATTCAATTAGAACGAAGCTAGTTTGGCTTTGCTACTGACCAGTCCCTGGTTAAACGCTCCTTGAAAAATGCCTCCTCTGCAGGGCAGATATTAATTTATTTCTCTGCCTGCGTCAAGCTCCTCACAGATGGGAGTCCATACTGCGTTAGGAATAGGTCTTGTACTTGTTCGTGTCGTGGGGTATTAGCTCCCCTGTGGGACTGCTTAAGATCTTCTCTGGAAGAGGTCGTGGTCAGATAATTCTCAATGAAGTTTCACGTTTTGGGTGGTACTGGGCTCATTTGAGTTTCTGTTCGTGTTATTCTCATGGGGTATTCCTGGGCTCAGTAGCATGGATGAGCATGTTTTGCTCTTTAAGGGCTAGAAAGGAGGAGAGAAGTCCAGTAATGGCTGTTGAGGGGTTCCCAAATAAAGGTGCTCTTTACAGTTTCTTCTTGAAATCATGAATTTTACACTCTACCACACAACCTAGATATTACTGCTTATTTTTCATAGTCTTTACCTACTGCTTTTCACCCAGAACTCTCCGGAGAACTGAGACAAGATCTTCGTAGAAAGATACTCAGCAGGGAGCTTTGAAGCTGGGACAGAAACACACCCATCCTGATTCTTGCTCTGGTGCTGTTTGTAGCAGACCACACTGCCTCCTGTTTGAGAGTTGGTACACTACAGCTGTACATCTTCCATTCTGCTTCCTCTGGCTACGGACTGGAGGGGGGAGACGACGGCTGGTTTCCTTAGCTTGCCCCTTTCATTTGATACTGGCTGTTAGTTTTGACAGTTTTTTTTTGTTTTTACAGTTGCCCAAGCCATATGGCAGAAAGAAACCTTTTCTTCATGTTCTCTGAATGTTGTTTTAAGGTTGCATTTTCTCTTTACAGTGGGGGAGAAATGGAGCTTTGTGCTTAACAGGCTGTGGGCCCTTCTTCTTGAGAATTAAAAAATTGTAATACACAAACCATAGTGTTTCACTGCCTTCATGACTATGGCACAGCCAGTGAGTGGAGTACACAGAACGCCCCTGCTACTGCCCCATAGAACACTGGTTACTTTAGAACAAAGTACAAAATACCAACCACATGGCTATGTGTGTGCTGGTCCTGAGATAATGAAGAGATTTGGAATATCGTGTGTGTTGGTGCTGAAAACACTGCCCCTTAGGAAAGCAGTTTTCTGTCAGGAAGAAAAACTTATATTATAGAATTCTAACGTACAATGCTATTGTTCCCTGTCAAAGCCGGCATGATCACAGGGGCCAGCTTGCCCGATCTTGCATTTTCCCAAGTATCTTCCTGTATAGCCTTTGCAATTTTTCAAACATTCTGTTTTTAAAAGAAGACCCGAGAAGTATTTCTCCACTTAAATAAACAAACAGTATTTTTGAGAAGCCCACCACTCTTACAATCCACTTTGAAAAACAAAATGTGTATGTTAGTAACAAGGGAAAAATAATTTTGCGGCAATAATAAGCATAACAGTTTGCTTTGCTATGGCATTATTCACATGAAAAGGGAAAGTATTTCAAGTCTGCACTGTGATAGTGTGTAGAATTAGCAAGAATTATTATTAGTCCTGACAAAAATGCCTTGGAAATGTCTCTTGGAGTTCGGAAGTATGTCTCCATGATCACGTTTCACAGCCTATTAGCAGAACATATTCAGCTTCAGACGATGCAATGATCTACCATTTCACAAAGTTACCAGAAAGTCTCAGACTCATTTGCATTGCAATGGAAATAAGTTTTTCGGATTGAACAAACATCTTCACACACAATCCCTCTTCAGCTGAAGCAATGTTCAACAGCAAAGCACTGGGCTGTCAGACCTGAGATACTGGCAAGTGTGTTCTTAATTGTGGACTAAGAGACAGGTAGGAAGATCACAGTTGGATCTAAAGCAGACTCTTTTTACACCACAGAGCCGAAGATTTTGGAGCCCAGAGCTCTCTGGGACCTCTGTTGCCATCCATTGACATTTTGCCTTGTGGAGCAAATGGCACAGCCTTGTGAAGCAATCTCTCAGCGTGGCAGTGCTGGGACTGCAGAACCTGTTTCTCTTTGGTTTGGCAGGCTACAGCGCAATCCGTGAGGGCACGTTCACACTGCGACCCAGAGGCAGTGCTGGAGCCCAGGCTCCATCAAGTGCATCTCCGGGACTGAAACTCAGGGTGACTTTCAAAGGGTGTCTCTCCACTCTTTACTGCATTCTCGGCTGAATCGGTGAAATAGTTCAGAGTTCGTAGTAGCGTTGCTACACAGACTTATCAAAGGGAACCATAAATTGGATTATTTAGTATTTACAGCCTTTGACACAGATTCACAGTTAATACAGAACTGAGTCCACTATTTTCTTTCTGTTATTACCTGGACATAAGTACAGAACTCTACACACAAATTTTTTCCTCATATCGCCTCCAAATACTTCCTCAAAAATATTTTAGTAACCTGATTCGCCAGGAAAGCCCTAGTCAATATTTCATTTGGAAGGCTCTCCATTCCTTTGACCATTACAAAATCTCCCATTGATACCAGTGGGGTTCATGGTCTACTCCCAGGTAAGGATGTTTGTGATTTATGGAGCTCTTTACATAAAGAGCATGTCTTCACTTGTTTTCGATTTGTTTGCAAACTTCACTTCCCAGTACTCCCATGCACAGCACTGGCCTCATCCTGTGCAATGTGGGAGAGGAGTCCATGGACTGAGTAAACTGATTATACAGTAAACCAAGATGAACCTACACATGCAACACAGATTTTCTTGGGTGCCTTTCAAGGCAGCTGTGCAGTCACCCACGTCCGTGGATGGCACGTAAGCTTCGGCACGTTTTCACCGATATCGCTTCTCACACATTTGACTTTAAAGAGAGACTTGTGAATAATGCGTGACCCTGTTTCATGCCCTGTTGAGGTAAAGCTTCTCAGAATGTCCAAGGAACAATAATGCGGTATTTCTTGATTACCTAAGCACATAAATGTGCAGACTAATGACTTTTTTTTTTTTTTAAAGCAGCCAGTGGGTTTCGCTTGTTTAAGGAATTTACATCATGTAGAAATATAATACAGCTTTGAAGTTGCTGGCCACAGCGCTTGCACGTTCTCTCAGCTGGGGTGGACTGGGCTGGAGCCCGCTGGAAGCTGCTGCGCCCAGCACCGCCAGGCCTGCAAAACCCTCAGCCTCCCCTGCTGAGTTTCAGAGGGGCATCGCTTGTTCAAAGCAAAGGCAATGGTCATCCCTGAAGGCGGCCGCTGCTCTCACTGGGGTGGCCCAGCACATAGCATATAAGACAGTATTTTCTGATAAACGTAAGGATAGTAGCAATAAAAAGTAGGATAATCACAAGACTGTCTCCTAGTGAGCAAACACTGTTCCTTGTCGAAACTGGTCTCAGATACATTTGCTACGGGGCTATTAAAACTAGATATTGCCCAGGGGGAATGGAGGCTTAGTCAGCACGAGATAGATTCTGCTGTTACTGATCTGCCTGGAAAAGAAAAAACTGCCATTTTAAAAGAGACCCTACTGGAAACACATCAAGACTGAAGCACCTCAGCTGAAAGTGTGGAAACGTTCTCAGTGACCAGATGCCATCAGGTCAGAGCCCGGCCTACCACATCGTCCCTATTCTCTGAAAATATTTTGCCCCGTTGGACAGTCATCTGTCTAGAAACTCAGAATGCTTTATAAACATTAACGTAGAACAAGTTACATTATATTAACCTCTTTTACGGAGATGAGAAGTTTGTCATGGAGAATATCAGCAGCAATTCTGACTCATAGGTAGCTGATGGCATAACCAGGATTAGGAGCAACATTTCTTAATGCCTGGTCCCATCCTTTAAGCACAAAATTATTCTGCCCTATTGTCTGCTTTCTTTTTGAAATATCAGCTAGCAGTGACAACAGCTAAATGGGTGTTTCCTTTTAAGATTTATGAGGATCGCAGAGAAGGAAAATACAGTGTTCAAAGTTTGGGGTGATTTTCTTCTTTCTGTTCTTTCTGCTGGTGTCTGCCACTTCATACCGTGAAGATGTCATGACACCTTCTTCATGGTGGTACTCAGCTTGCTCACTTTCCCATGCTACAT